TGTTTTTATTTTGTTTACTTTTATGTATGCAACACGACACCAAGTGAAATTCCTCGTACGTGTCAACCTACCTGGTGATAAACCTGATTCTGAAATATATGGAACTCACTTCTAGTTGTTAGAATGAACCACATCTTGTTATGACTCTGGGTCACAATAGAGAGCCGCCCTTCTGTGCCACAAATTACACATATGATGTTTGTCAATCTTAAAAAATAATTTCCATGTCAAAAAAGTCAGTTTTTCGTAAAACTGTTGAAATATAAGACTATGAAAAATACGCAACCAGAAAGACTACAAATCCCAGAATCCCGGTCCCGCATATTGGCTCTTACGGAACTCCCCTTGTGTGTGTGTACAGCTCTCAACATGCCCAGACTTGGAGTGATTTTCACCTCTTTTAATACTTTCCGCCTCATTCTGAAAGAAAGAAGTGAAATGTGCCAACGTGACGGCCGTCTGGGTGTGTGGTGCGAGATGGGAGATGTAGTTCATTGAGCGGTTTCCACAACAAAGTGTTACTTCACAGTTTTACCACACATTTGTATTTTTTTGACTTTACAAAATTATCTTTTAAATTGACAAACATCATATGTGTAATTTGTGGCACAATTCAAACGGGATCCAAAGATAATCTTTCTCTCTCCATTGACTTCAATACATGATTTTTCCAAAATAAGGTCCCATGGAGCTCCCCCGGAAAGGGAGGGACTTCACCTCTCTATGGCTTTCTGTTCCTGTGTAAGATTAGAGTGTGTGGATGCTGCATGGTGATTGGACGAGTTTACTCATATCTGCATCCTGATTGGTCCACCATGAAGACAATAGTTATTTGAATAAGTGCACGATAGTCTCTCTACTGCTCCCAACGGAGAACCAGCATTTTGTGTGTTTTGAGATTGGAAAAATGTTTGTTGCACTGCGGGGCTTTTTGACAAGTTTGTTGTTTTGTTTTTGCATTTAGAGAAATGTGTGGTCACTCTATAATGTTTAATACTAGAGCAGTATAGTAGGAGTGAGAAGCTCTTTATGGTTATTGAACCCTGTTTTCTTTTCTTTACTTCGGCGTAGGAGCTCAAGTAAGAGACTTGGCTTTAGTTTCTTGGTTTGGGAATTTTGTTGTTGTTGTTTTGGGCATCGTTGAGCTTTTCTTGGGAGTGGGAAAAGTGAACCGCATTTGTGTTATATCCGCTATGAACCTAAATAACAAGCTAGAAAACAAAACTCCTGTACCTTTTTAGTTTGAGGTAATGCTCCAGCTCTCTCTTCCTCTCGGCTGTTATCGGCTCTGCTTCCTGAGGCTCTGCTGACTCAGCTCCTTTCACATCTGGCTGTGTATCCTCATTGGCTACAAAACACACAATTAAAGCCCATCTGAGCAGGGTTTACTCAACACAACATCTGAAAATGTATGACCGACTTTACCTGCTGTGCAGCCACTAGAAGCACTTTGTGATAAACACAATGCTGTTTCCTCTTCCCACGCTGTTATGCTTGAAGAGTTTTCACTGGGATCTGAGTCAACTCTCAGAGCGCCTTTTCCACCTTTTGTACTAGAAAACAATACAAGATATTCATTTTTACAATTTTAAAAGCAGTGTTTGTTATATATGCTTGAATTTGTGTACTAAATAACCGTGACGCGAACCTGGTTTTTGTATGGCAGCTGTTATAAGGGACAGTTTTCAATAAGGCGTGATGCGTAAGCTTCCGTGTTTGTTCCAATAGAGGAGCTGAACAGGAGGGTTCCTAAAAGACACAAAGAAACACTGAGTGTAGAATATAGTGGAAATGCCTGAGTAGAGTTCAGGTCAAGTGTTGTTTATCTTTTCCACAGTGGACAAACTATTTTAAAATGTTGTTGTTGTTTGTCAGGGTCATACGGTTGTCACAGGGACACAATGCATGCAAGACAGCAACAGTTTCAGTCAGAGAAAGAAACACGGTACGTACACACAGCAGCTTTGAAAAAATCTTGGAGCTGGGCATGTCTGAGAGCTTGGGGATTTTTTGCAACAAACAACCAATCACATGAATGTCCCGCCCCCGACATACAAAGCAAAAAACCACGAGCAATATATATAAACTCCCAGTTTCACCCACTGTCTCTGCAACCTCCCTCCATGCCTGGTTCCTCCGGTTTGTATCACGGTAAATAGTTCTGGTCGTAAAGAACCGGGTGATTGGCTACCGTAATTTCTCGTTTGGAATATGAGGAAATGAACTGCGGTCTGGCTCTCCCAGCGTGCACGTGGTTTGATTGGCTAGCGCTTGAACTGTCAGATTTGCATAAACGGGATTTGATTGGCTGACGCTTCCAGCTCAGCTTCAAAAGTTGAACATTGCTCAACTTTTGAATCCTGAAAAT